ATTGCTAGCTGTAAAGAAGGTTGTGCAAAAGACAATAAACAATTGTGTGCATTTTGCTTACCTAGTTTACATTTTTGTAACAGCCTTGGCATATCTGAAAAAGGCTGTTTGAGAGGTTTTTTTCAACCTGAACTGAAGCCCTGAGCAGTCAAATCCTCCTCCTGACCTTTCATTCACTGCTTTTCCAGGGCAGGCTGCTAAGGCATTAATAATTAATGCCAGTCTGTAGGAGAGCGTACCCCACAAGGTTTTCTCAGGCCTTTACAGGTCACATTTATGGGTCACAAAAAACAGCCGCATTCACCTTCACTTTCAAATCTACTCGTTGGTCACCCTCTGACCACACTCATTCAACTCAGGTATTTTCAATAGTAGCTTCCACCTCATGTATTAGCCACAGACTGCATAAAAATCACAGCTTCCAGAAGGTCAATGTTAAAGTAACCTCAAGCAGATATGAAAATTACTTCAATTCTCCCTAGACTAGCAGCCAGCCTAGTCTGATTCATACTCTTGTGCTTAATCATAAGTCAGCAAAATATCATACAACTCAGCATAAGCAAGAGGAACATAAAAAACATCTCAGCCCTTATTCATGTACATTCACTGGAGTCCATGGGGGCACAGCATCCTGCTGTTTCTGTCATGATGCAGCAACTGGATTAAAACTGGTGCTTGATAGTAAGTAAGAGTGCTCAGGTAACATTAAAAATAAAGTTATCTGTGAGAAGCAATAAGCGTACTTTCATGAGCTCCAGATTTGGATATGGCCTGATAAGGTACAGTATCCAACACAGGAAGAGATTTGAATACAGTGGTTTGCATAACAGCTCCATCATTGTAAGTACCATTTCTGAAGTATACTGGAAGCCTGACTATTAATTACTAAGCCACCCCAAATCAATTGGGTAACAAAACTGAGGTGGAGCTACACACACACAATACCCAGGACACCAGCCACAATTTAGACCCCAGCTGCTAATTGGATAATTACCACAGATGTTCTGGCCATAACATGCTTTCATTAGCGACCTCTGCTTTGGCTTTCTGCTCCCTCCAGACACATTAGGAGTCTCAAATATTTGCAATTATCTCTCTTTTGCAAGCATATTTCTGTGTCAATCATTTACCTTTATTCTATATTTCCAAAATTTCAGATGGCTCCCTCTATACTAAATGAGTTAATTATTAATTTTTTAAATTTAATTTTAAACTAACATACTCAATTAATTCCATCATCAAATTTAATTCCTGCCTATGAAATATTGCCCTGTATTCTGACACTGGGTTTTGCATTCACTGCTCTTAATTTGGTTTCAGGTACATTTACTGATTCTCAGTACTTGGAGCATCCCCACTTAAAAAGCATGGGACAAGCATGTGAAAAGGGGGATTTTGGCTAAGCATTGGCACGGGATGGATAAGCAAAAAAAAGCTCAGTAAAAACTTTAGAAATATAATACCAGCATGCATCTTGAAAAATTATCTTTAGGCAAGGCAAAAAATTAAACTGAAAATTTAGAAAGGAAATGAAGCAAATTTTGAGGTAACTGCAGTTACCCAACTTGCATGATAGGCAGCATGGGAGAAAGCACAAATACAATTATTTGACAGCTTGGCAATAAGGCCACTGTTAAAGCTGAGGAAAAACTCTGGGATGTCCTTAGGCCTCACAAGCCCTCATTTTTTTATCTAATATATAGGAACCACAGGAAAGATGCAACGAAAGAAATGGCACAGCCAAAGCAACAATGCAGAAAAAGAAGTTGTTCTGCTCTAATTGGGCTGGCACAAGTTGGCAAGGCTGCTTTGCTCCAGGCAAAGGAAGCTGATGATGCAGCATTGAAGGCAAGCGCAAAAGTTTTTACCTGCAAAGGTGAAAAGTTGAAGCTGAATTTAAGAAGCAAGAAACAGGCAATATTTAGAGAAGATTCAAGTGAGAGAAACTGAAGAGAAAACTGTGCTGAAGAGTGCCCAGAGAAACACAGTCCTGCAGTGTTCATCCACTGACACAAGAAGTTGAAAAAGAAGGGTTTTTTAGTTAAGTGGTACATATGCTGATAGACAGGCGTGGACAAGGGAGCAGTTGTAAAGACAAATAACTGTTTTCCTTGTAAAGAACAGCAAGGAGGCAGAAGGGCAGATTTGCAAGAGCCAAATGGGCAGTCTTGATCCACTGCACATATGCAGAGTGAAAACACATGTATGCATACAGAACAATGTAGCTCATGCCTTGAAATTCGGCAGCGGGATCTAGGTGCTCCCAGTTACTGCCATTCATATCATCCTTCATGACTATCCAGTCTTAAGGACTTTAATTTGCTAGCATTTAAAAATCTCTATCATACGTAAAAAAGAGTTTTAGTATTTTGTCTCTGCACTGATAAATGTGATATTCAAGATACTCACATTTCCATATTAGCCACTACTACGACAAGTGATGGATGGTTCTGTTGCTCACACACATCTCGCTTTCTCCTAGTTCCAAGTTCGGTTACACATTAAGTTTTTTTCCCCTGCTGTTCTGTCACCTAAGCGTCTTAAAGAACTTGCTTAGAGTGATTTGGTGGTGGGATCTTATTTTTTTTAATGTGGTAAATCTAATTCTCATTGTGTCAACTGTCCAGGTTGACATTCTTTTCATTGGTCTTGCAAGACTGCATATTTCAGACCATTCAGTCTTTTGCCTGTACTAATTCACATTTTTGTTTCCATCTATCTCGCTTACACATTGGAAAAGAACCACCACCTCGGCAGAAACAGCAGGCAAAGTATAATTTCTACCAACCTTCAGAGGCATAGTTAACTAGTCTATATGTTAAAACAAAAGATTTAAATTTGTCAACTCATGAGTTCACTGTTAAAGCATTAGAATGACCGGAGTTTATACAGCAATGTCCATCTCTTTAAATTGCATCACTATCAATACTTCTCATTTGAAAGGGTCTATTATACTGCACAGGCTAATAACATGAAACTGCTCAAACACATGTCCTGAATTGCAGTGATCACTCTCCAAAACCATTTCTGGTGAAACGGTGCCCTCTTGTAGCAGGAATCGGCCACTGCAAGAACAGCAGCTTTGTAAACACACAGCTGGCAAGCCAACAGATCTCAAGCATTTCTTTCACATCATTATTTACAATACTATGAAATAGGCATGTTTGCAGCGTTACTTTGAAAGATTTTTTTCTTCCCTAAATTTCATTTACAAACAGCACTGGTCTTAGCCAGAATCTAAATTACTTTCAGCACCTCACAAGTTAGTTAAGGCCACTCTTAGGGGAAGCAGTGGTCTTGTTTGTAAGTTTGATACATACTCCAGTATTTAGGAGGTCAGTCTATCCAAGCTTTTAGCTTTCATCTTCGAACCAAGAACTGACAACTATGCAAGAATACTCTGCTGAGCAAAACGTTTAGGATAAAGAACAATTTCTCAGATGCTTTTTTTTTTCTTTACTTCCTCTCTCCTGTGAAAAATCTCATATCCCTTCAGCGAGATTTTCTGGCTCCTCACTCCCAGTCCCTCAGCAGAAGCAGCTCACACTGCTTGCCAGCAACAAAAAGAACACAAACAGGGGCAAAGATACAGGTACACAGTTTCTTCAGCTTAACAGGACATCTGGGTGATGCCCAAAAACCGGCATCCCCTGCCATGGCCGCTCACTCAGTGCCTCAGAGCAGAACTGCACAGCAATGCAGCCCTTGCCACAGGGGACTCTGCTCTCCCCCAGGGATTTGCCATCCCTTAAATGTCTGTGGTTCATTTTTCTCCAGAACTGAAGAAAATTAATATAGGCAGCCATGTGACTCATGTTGTTCTAGCCACCTAAGAAATATAAGGTTTTTTATAATACTTTGTGTAGTAACACCGATTCTTTACCTAGTACTTATTCTTCATTAGCATCATTCATTGGTAGCCATCTGCTACTGTGGTGTTAAACACAAACTGATCGTGACAAGTATTTTGAAGAGGCATTTTTCCCGTTCAAATATGTATTACTATGAACATTTAATTTCTTCCTCTTCTTTTTTTTTTTTCTTTTTTTTTTTTTTCCTTCCAGAAAACCCCATTTTATTCTTTTCTCTTCTGGTTGTTTGTGGGGAGGAGAGGGTGCACAAGTGTTTGGTTTTGTTTGATTTACTTCCTAAACCTCACTTTTTACTAAAAAAAACTCTACTTTTCTTAAGATAGGAAGGTAATATCCATATGTATTGGGGGGAAAGTAGGAATAATTTCACCTTCATTCATGAGCATGTTCTCTAATCTTGTTTAGAAGTCCTTAGTCTGTGATTGTAATACCAATGAGCATAAACAAATCATGTAGATATGGGGACAATCTTGCTCATGGCAGTGGGGGAAAAAAGCTCCGATTTCATAAACAAAACACAAAGAAGGGATCAGATCACCCAATCCCATCCACACTTTCCCTACTTCCTGGATTATCACCTTCCCATTTCCATCATTAATATGGAGCTAAACAGAAGGAAGCGCAATAGCATCGGTGTAGCCTAGTATTTAAATAAACACAGATCTGCCTAACAGCTTGGGTCTAAGAACCAAAAAAGGTTCACAGGCCTAAGCCAGGGTTAACCAGTATTTTAGGGTATGTACTCAATCTGCATATTGCTTTGTATACCTATGTGAAACAGCATCTTGAAATATCATCACACTCTTTCTGGCTTTGAAAAATCACGTTATTCACTGATATTCGCATGCAAACTTCCTGCAAAAATAGAGATACACAAAAAGCTCCAAGCACAAGCAAATCACTAGAACATCTCAACAAGAAACTCTTCCCAGAAAGTACACAAACCTTTTCACAGCACCACACCCTGCAAAAAAATACTTTTTTTGAAGCCAAGACTGGATCACATTTTGGAAGTATGAAACAGCTCATGCCCTCTTTATTTCTCTTAGTTGTGAAGTCACTGCTTTTCACTATAGCTATACCAATCAGAGAAAAACATAGACATATGGATGTGGGAATAAAACTCACCATGCTGTTCATTTTGGAAGAGGATGAGCTTGCTCTCTGCTTCCTCAGGCTGTTAAGCTCTTCTGCATTTCCCTCCTTTGGTTTTATGATCAGCCGGCTGCCCCCAGCAGTGCCTTCTGAAGAGGACCTCAGTCGTTTCTCAACAAATCTGCCTTCCCGGTACGGACTGAGGCTGTTGGCAACACCAGCTACAAAGAGAGAAGCAATCAGCAATTGTTACAGGGAACTGCTCTCTACAAGTATTTTCTTCCTCAGAACACTGCTTTGCTTGAAATAATTACACTGAAATGAAATCACATGAGAAATGTTCTGTGGAAAGCAGAGCATGCCTACCTAGATGAAGGTGTCACCTGGGCCCCAAGTTCACTGTTCAGCCCCAGTGACAGGCATTGCTCAGCACACCACAGCCCAGTCCAGGGCTCCTCATAGAATCCAGAAAAACTCTTTGATCCATCCTTTTCTTTCTCCCTTCATCATCTTTCTCCCTTCCAAATTGCTGAAAGTGAAATCTACCAGAGAAACTATCACTTGTCCAGTGGTGCCAAAACCCTAGGCCCAAAGGCAAGTAAGTCCAGACCTTGAAGGGCCAGGTGACAACTTTGTTACTCCTACATAAGACAGGGATGCACATTGGTTTCCATTTCTGTTCAGCATTCCTAGTTTAGCTTTACACCTGCACCCTCCACCAGCCTGCAGTCAGTGAGCAAAATCCCAGTGCAGTTAAAACAGTAAACATCAGAAAAGAGGAGAAAAAAATACAGTTTGACATGTTAGGGCAGATTTAGAGATGGGGACAGATAAAATAATAGTAGCGTAATAAATGTCACACATACAGAAAATCTTAGCTTCTTTTGCATTTTGCAAGAGAAGAGACATTTTCTCTAAAGATACTCAAAAAAATCCGTACCACATTAAAATACATAAAGGTATACTACATATATAGCACATCAAACCTTCTCAAACATTAATGTCACATTCACAATGCTATCTATAATGATATCAGCTATGAGAGCAGGTACAGAAGAGAAATTATCTACTACCAAAGAAAATGCACAGAAGTATTTTGTATTCACATCTAGGTTTAAATAATGTTTTAGAAAACCAAATGTTCAAACCAGTCTGTTTGCAAAAGGTATAAGTACTTATAACCATATCTTACTGATTGCCATGTATTTTTTCTGTATTTGACTCATTTCATATGGCAGGATTTTGTCTTATTTTCACAGGTTCCTTTGTACGCTTGGGGAATTGCAAACTTGAAATACTTTTTTTTTTTTTCCGGCGTAGTGAAGAAAGTATTTTGAACAGCACTAAAAGAACAGAACAATTAATCAACAACTCTTATATAGTGCAGTATTAGCTCTAGTGTTTCTGTGAACATGAATCCAACTTTACAAAAATATCTATAGCACAATTTCAACTCCCTTTAGCTGCTTTACTGAAATACAGACTAAATATCAAATTGTTAGTGTATGAGTTTGAAATGCAGGGGGTATTTCTAAACATCCCTCCAAGCTGCTCACTTAGTGCTCCGTAGTACACTCTTGCAAGACAGATTCTGAAATAAGAGCTATTTACAGATGAGACAGTGTGGCAAGGAAGACAAACTGAGTGCTCAGGACCAGTAATACAGATAAATACGAACATTTTTTTTCCCCAAAGAAACTGAGGTTCTGAGTGAAAGAGCAGCCCTCCGGTGAAAGCTAATTTAGTGGATTAATTTGACTTTCTATTGCCATTTATGTACAAAAGATCCAACTAAGCCTAGCAGCGACTAATAATTCAAAAAGCAAGATTGCTTTTGATTGCTTAAAATCCACATGCCTAGATAAATATCCAAGCAAAATTATGAGTGTGAATTTATGAGTTTACACTTACCATTATTCATCTTCTAATACAATCACTACAAATGCTGTCTTGTTAACTCTCAAATTTTGTCCCACCACATACAGCCTCAGGATTAAGCAAGAAGGACCAGTCATTAAGCTGGCTGGAAAAAATCAACTGTCAGAGATAAATGTCTTCTGACAGGTGTCCTTCATTCAAGGGCCTGGTATCTTACTTATCTGTAAGTCTATAGATTGGGATTTCTAGGCACAGTCTTTCCACTTAATCTTGTTAGTATTTCCAAATTATTCTTCATAAACTAAAGACCCAGTGTGAGATGTAGACGGTAATTAACTCTCTCAGTATCACAGATGACAACGTGAGAATTTGGAGATGGAAGCAGAAACAGGACATCTCGTACTTTGACAAAATATCCATGCTGAGCTACGCTATAACATCAGTTGAAAGAGAAAGTAAGACAGTAAAGAGAAAGACAAATAATAATAGTAAGCCATATTATTTCCCATAACCAGACTACAGGTGATGTTTCCATCCCAAATTATGCAACCCCATGGCTCAAGTCCAAAATAGCCGTGTCTCAAGAAATCATAGCTTCAGCCACTAGCACAAGCTGGGAATCAGTATTTGCATTCTTAATTCATTTTCTCTTAAGCAAAGAATAGCCACAAACAGCACTGATGGGTGTTTGCAAACTCTAAAACACAAACTCAAAAAAAATCACAGACTTTGCCTTTAATTTCTACAGTTCTGGAGGAGGACACAATTTCTACTTTCTAAATGTCATAGTTAGTGTCACCATGATATTTCCTATACTATCCCTTTGCCAGGATTTTTTCTCCTGAGAAGCTGAGAAGCCTCAGAAAAGAAATGGAAACAACAACTATCTGATGGCTGTGGAATGTAGTCTGGACATTGTTTACCAACTGGTTCGTCTTTGGTCCATGTGAGACGTTTCTACTTAAGGACCAATCATGGTCCAGCTGTGTGGGCTCCCTGAGAGTCACAAGCTTTTGTTATCATTCTATTCCACTCCTTTTCCTTTCCAGCTTTCTGATGGATCCTTTCTCTCTATTCTATTAGTTTAGTTTTAGTATATTCTATTTATATTCTATTCTATTAGTTTAGTTTTAGTATAGCATTTTAACATAATATAATATCATGATATAATAAATCAGCCTTCTGAAACATGGAGTCAAGATTCTCAGGTCTTCCCTCATCCTGGGACCCTCGAACATAACCATAGTTAGCACTCGCAATTCTAAAAAACACTTTATGACAAAACAATCATTATAGAAGAAATGAGGCCAGCCCACTCAAAACCCATCAAACTCAAAAATGCAAAGACCATGAAACACACCTTTGGGATGGTTTGATTCACAACCCTGTTGTGTTTTGAAGGACTGAGGTTCAGAACATGTAACTGTGTTAGACTCCACCACATTAATTGTGTTTCCCATGTGCTTGGATGGAGTGCTTTCATCTCTGTGGCCACTCAATCCCCGTGCCTTTGGAGAGAGTGTCACTGGTTCTTCACTACACTGTAACGTCAAGGTTTCTAAATGTCCATTTTCTGAGTTAATTTTTTCTATGTTCCTGGCATCATTAATATGTAGTCCATTGGCTTGCAACAGTACTTTTGTTTGATTAGCAACTGAGGTTTTGAATAAGGTACTGGAATCCACACTGCACGAGCTTGCACGACTCACAGGAGATACGCCAGCAGAATGGCCAGCACTTTGCACACTGTCTCTCTCCCTCACAGGAGCAGCAGCAGGATTAAAGAAGATCTGAGAGGTAGAGACATTGTGGCCAAAATCCTCTGTGAGCAGTGCCCCAGGCCCACTGCTGGGCAGGGCATCAGCCTCAGAAACAGAGTCCTCGGTCAGCGCGATGAAGTCCGAGGGGGTCTGGGCAGCCGTGAGGTCAGCCGAGAGCAGCGGGGACTGCAGGGAGCTGCCCATGCACTCCGTCGTCTCAGCCGAGCATGGAGGAGACGACTTGGCCATCACAGGTTCACTCTCCACATAGGATTTAACTTCCAGCAAGCACCTGGGCTGCTGCACAGAAGAAACTGACTGACTCTCTGGAACTGTTTTGGAAAATTTGTAGTGTGATGAAAAAGATTTGGTGAGAAGTTTCCGTGTGGACTGTTTGACAGAATATCGGCTTCGCTCTTCTGCAAAGCCAGAATCATCACCCTCATTCTTCCCAGAGCTTATGCAATTGATAAAGACATTCTTATTAGCTGAGGGCTCCTTTCCCTTTTCAAAATCGTCTGTCAAAGACCTTGTTATCTTCTTGTTACATGAGCTGCCAAAGCCAACTGAATGCCTTCCTCTGCTTTTTATGTGCTCGTCTAAGCTGAGTTTTTGAAAAGTGCTAAGAGAGGACTGGGCACCATTTGAGATGTTAACATTTTGACTCGCTGAGTCAGGCTTCTGCTCACTCCCTTTCTTGTTATGGAAGCTAATGGAAGGAGTGCGGAAAATACTCCGGCGCTTTCCTGTGCTGCCTGAGCTGGAGTTCGTGCTGGATGGGGAGGAGGTGTGGACACCAATGGCATTGGCAGAAGAAGGAGAAGAAGGAAGGGAGTCGTGTCTCCGGCTAACACTTCTCCTGAATATTGGCAACCGAGATACAAGAGTCGATCGTCTGGATCCCGAGTCCCCCATCAGGGCACAAAGGGTCCGTGGTTCTTCACAGCCAATAAAATAACCTGGGATGAGAGAAAAATAAAGGGGAGGGGGGAAAGAAGATAAATTATTCAGCCTCAAAGACCACTCAAACAGATTTGTCAGTCAGCCTAAATACATGAGATGTCAACATCAATTTGTTGCATGCACATTACTGAAGACGTCTAGCATCTGAAAGTGATGTTCAATAGCCAGCACTGAAAACTGAGCAAACACGTCACTTAAAATATTCTACTGACAAAAGATACAATTTTATAAATGGAATTGTACAACAGTATTGTATACTGTTACAGTGGGTAACTGTATGAAATCTAAATGCCAAGAGATATATATCACCCAAACATCCTTGTTTTTAAGTTCTTCTTATAGCGTGTAAGCACTCTTAGAAAATAGCTGATTTTTCATTATCTGAGTGGAACAAGTAATTATTTTGTATTTCTAAGTACTAAGATTTTTTGCATGAAAGAAGATAATTTAAATTTTTCAATCTTCACAGAACTTCCAGTTGGATTTTAACTACTTTATGTGCTTCTGTTAAAGGCTGTATCACTTTGCAGTACAGAAAATGATGCCGTTGCAATCCAGCCAACATATGCAGCACCAAAAATTCTTCCTAAAGAACTGTAAGTTCAAGGAATTTATTGTCAAAATATGGGATCATGTTTCTAGATTTGAACTGTAATGTTTTTCTTTGAACACTTCTCTGTAATCCTCTCACAGCCTTTTTGCTTATAATTAGCTAATTTTTCATGGTTTTTGAAATCAGGGACAAGTGCTTCCATGCACATGCACTTGGGCTTTTTTTATAAATATTTAAGCAAAACTTATTTTGATCAGCACTGTAGATGTACTGGAAGAATATTAATCTTTATTACATATATACCAGTTCTATCTCCTTTTTGTTCTCATTATAATAAACTACCACTGTGAAAGACAGGACCACAGAGAGACAGCAATAAAAACATGTAATATATAATCACAAGAACATGAGAGGCTGTAGGAATTATGCCCCCATGTAACTTCCTGAGCTACTAGTATTCAGCACATAAAAATAAACCCCAAGTCATCTGTCTAGACATTGTACGTCAAGTGCAAAAACAAAGTAATTCATCTAATGAGCAATTTAATATGTGTTATGTGGCTCAGCAAGCACCTGTGAGCAATGTATACCTTTAGGTAGCATATACATACACATAAATATACATAAATGGAAACTGAATATTTAAGTATTAATAAAACTACATATACGTTATATAACTGTGAAAGAAAGGGTAACAAGTTCAAAGACTGTTTCTGACTAGAGATTGAACTGCACTTTTCAGCTGTTAACATTTTTTTTAAATGCTATTACAGTTCCACTCTGAACATGCAGTGCCAAGCAGCCACACTATTCACAAGCACCAGGAATCAATAAGCAATTTTGCAGCTCAGGATGAGAAAAACAGCTTGGGAATAGTCACTAATTACAAGAAGTCACTGGTGATCTCTGATGGCAAGCTAAACCCTGACCTAGACAACGCCCAGGTTCTGAGACTGAAACCCCAATTTGAACTCAGTCTGACTGGGGCAAAACTGGCAATACAGGACCACACACAGTTAACCAGAGAAACTTTACATCCACCAGTGAAGTGAAGCACAGCCAGCTGTTCCATTTCACTGACAGGTATCAAAGTTTGCATTTAGACCACTGTGTAACCACAACTGCAGGGGGGACAGTGCAGAGAAGCCAAGGCCCTGCGAGCTCCCACAGGAGCTGTTGTTAATCCCAGCTTGCTCATTCTGCCTATGGAAAATGGGCTTCTGAAAGCCACATCAAACTCTTCATCCCTCCCCTTCAAGCTTCTCTGGCTTCTTTAACCACTTCAAGACCGCAACTGTGTTGGGGTTTCTTTGATGCAGTGAATCTCTATCTGCAGGCTTACTGGTACGTATGGATGGATAAGCACATACACACAATATTTTTAGACATTTGTGAGGATTCTTTCCTGTATTTTAAGAAGAGATCATAATTGCTGAAAAAAAAATTTAAAATGCAGCTTTACAATAGCAGTAGATGAAAAAAGTACTTTAAAAATACCTTAAACCTCTATAGGCATTTTATAGATGTATAAAACATTTGCTGCCACTGTTCTCTCTCGGTCCACAGCTTAAAATGTCACTCCACTGAAGAACAAGCCACCTAGTTTATAACCACAAAATTTTCCAAGCTGAGAGCAGAAGGAAGCAGAAAACTGAGCAAAAAGCACACTCTGTAACTTGCACTGGGAATACAAAGACTGTGTCTAAATAATAAGAGATTATTCCTAAGGACTGACCCTGAATAAACATTGCCTTGGCCTTCCAGGTAGTAATAAATTTTAATAGAATACATTGCCTCTAACAGCAGCTAACACAATAGCATTTATTCAGTTGATTCCTCCTTTCCTGTCTCTTGAAGGAAGAACACAAATAAACTGTCAGCATTCCTCTAATTGTCTAAGCAGCAGAAATCCTCACCCATAAAATATGAACCAAGTACAATACATTCCTCTTTCTAGGTCTACCATAGCTATCAGAGAATATTTGTTAAAACATAACACCATTGTGCAAATACACCTGTATATATGCATGCCCATGTGCATACACTGTTTGCATGTTGTGAATGTTCTAGTAATATTTTTAATATTACTGATTTAATAGAATTATATATAATTTACATACCACACATTTTGCACTGTTAACCTGCCGAAGTTTAGTATTAAGTTAAAATGACAACTTTTCTATTTGCAATACAAGGAAAAATAACAAGTATTTCAAGATAGCAGTATTTTCAGATACTACTGAAGTCTGATCTTGCATTAATTTTTTTGCTTACAGCAGAGCAGTTACAAACTGCCATATATGTCCTGTTATGACTAATACAGGAGGTGTTTCCTTTCATCCTCCACATTTAACATGAGTGTTTACACTTGCAATGTTACAGTAGTAACCCTTACAGAGTGAAATTCACTCCAGCTACATCTTCTCTGCAAAACCATTAATTTTATCTAAAATAAATAAAATCGTCCCTATAGGCATCATTCTTAAAACCTTCAACAGAGGAAAAAGAAAAGAGCAGAGAAGGATACCTTTGTTTAGGCTCCTTGTTTAGGACAAAATATGCTAGCACATAATGAGAATACTCAAGAAAACAGGCACATGATGTATGGAGGTTTGAATCTTGATCAAATAGACACCCATTACTTTGTAGTACTTTAGAACTATAAAATCCAGTTTCTACTGAAACGAAAGTGTTTACTCAGTGCTGAACAAGACAATTTTTGCTTTTGATGGAATAGATTTTTGAGGAATATTCTTGCAGCTGGCATTACACAAGACAGATTTTGATATAATGACAGAAAATGACAAAGCTGCTTTGGAAACAATTTCAGGCAGAGTAACAGTGGATTATTTCAGAATATTCTCTTCCTCAAGAGCTTGGCTACAGCTCAGAGTTTCTGAGCTCCTGTGCTCAGACCAATGGAAATGAGAAAGCAAATGTGAGCAAAATATTTTCCCTCTTAATAGAAATTTAAAAAGTTAATCAGATGGAAACTGCTTCTTTCATGTTGGTTTGCACCAAGACATTGCAAATTAATTTCAAAAATATGTTAATGTCACATATTTAATTGCCAGAAAAAAGAAGTCAGTTTTTTATAGTTTGGTCTTATCCTTTCCCCACCAGAGATCTTTGGAGGAACCATCCAGCTAAGGTTGTAATATCAGACCTTTATCTTGCCTACAGAAGTTGTCTGACTATAAAAAACACGTAGGGTAAAAAATTATACAGGCAGCTCTGTATTGTATATATTACTGAATCTTGTCAGAAGACAAAAATTGCTCAACTTTCAGACAGTGAATGTAACTGCAAAAAAAAAAAAAACCTGGAAGTTTTAAAACAGACAAAATTGTCAAAATATTACACCAATATCTTCACAGAAATCTACTCCATCAATTCACCAGCTGAAAAATAAAATGCAGTACTTTTTATTTCAGCTTCTGCCCAGCAGCTACTCTCACAAGTGTGCCAGAACTCAGTGCTTTCAATAAACAATTCCTTGTGCTTCTGGTTTTGAACCCCAGCAGATGGAGCCATGGATCTACATCCTCAATAACTGCAAATATGAAAAAGCAACAGTCTGTGCCTTTCACATTTCTTATGCCTTTAAAGCAAAATTTAAGAATTGAAATTATTTGTCAATTTTACCATTGTCTTAATTATGAATACACACCAAAAGACAATATATGTTTATCCAACACTGTAATGTGTAGGGGAGTACAAACACTCCCTTCATAAATAAACCAACCTGCTACTACCTCTCAACACTTTCTTAGCAAAGCTTTCCTGAAGAGGTTCTCCTTAAAGATGCAATTCCTAGAAATATTAAACAACATCTTCCAAACAAGAAACAAAACTGAATTAGCTATCAAAGTTTACACTGGGAGATGACATGACACATAGCTGAAACACCTCAAACCTTAAATCAGAGCAGAATATCAATAAGCATCTGGAAGATTTTTAGGCTTCACTCATAGTTTAAGGATGATGATACATTTTCTTTATTGCTTAGAATTGGGAACTTAGAATAAAGGAGAACACAGGACTAAGATGTGCATTTACACTGCGAAAATCCTGCCTCCATCCCTTACACGAGCGCTACCATGCAGCAGGAGACACAGTCTCTATAGACCAGCTGGCTCCAATCTTACACAGAAATTAAATTTGCCCCAGGATACTACAAATACCCACAAAACTACATGAAAATAAGTATTTTTCATTTTCAGTGTGTTAACAGAAGTCCTGATGCAGCTGATACACTTGTAAGAAGCAGTCCTTCAGTCCATGGGGTCACATTATAGCCTGTGGCTTCCACCCAAATAGTTAAGCTTCCATCATTTGGATTCCAGCACTGTATTGTCCTCAGCATTTAAGCATTACTGCCTTCAATAAAGTTCTAATATTATTTGTCTCTCTAGTACGTTTGTGACTTGGTTTTACTTGCAC